TCTTCAGATATTAATTTATCGTAGATATTTTCTGTACCGTTTATACTTCTACGCAAACTCTCTAAAAGTCTTTTTAAATTACCCGTTACTTTTAATTAATTGTTGAGTCGTTAATAAAAGTAAAAAAAAGCTAAAAAAAACTATATCTTTTCAAATTATGATGAAAACAAGTCTAAAAAACGAAATTTTATGTAGGTTATAATGTTAAGGCTGTCGAAGAGCAGTAGCAAAATTGGCAGATTTCACTTTGATTGTGTCGGGAAACGGTATTAAAGCAGTATGTTTTTTATTAAAAATCATCAGTAACCTAACGACTGAAATTTCAATTGGTATATTTGCTGAAATAATAGGCTGTTAAAAGTGTGACGGTTTTTATCGACAAAATTCCATGTGAGGACAACAGTCTAGAGAAGACCATAACAAGTTTGAGTCGGGATAAAACGCCTAGTCTGTTCTTTTCATCATTCAGCACATACAGTTTAGACTTGTCAACTAAATTTGTTGAAGTAAAATAATTGTTGGTAAATTTTACAGAGTTTTTATATTGCTTGCTGCTTAATAATAATAATACACTATGAACGTCACTTAGTTCAGATGTTATTAGCGTGATTGCAAGTTCGTTTTTTTTTCCTTTTTTCTGGTTTCTTCTTCTGGCATTAGTCAATATAGCATAAACAAAACAAGTTTTATTGCTGCTGTGTATTTTTTTTCATTGAACACTTCATTTACACTTTTTGTAAGTACTTTTTTTACGTCTTTTAACAATGCATGTTGAAAACATTTCAAAATAATCAATTTTCTTTTTATCGACCGATATATATTCTCAACAATGATTATGCAGTTTTTTTTTGTAATTGTTAACTGTTACAGTGTTTTACGTTCTAACATTAAACAAAATTTAAGTTTTAAATTTATTGAACATTTAGTTAAAACAATAACATCATGAAAAATTTAGCACTGTTGTCTTGAACAGTTCAAGAAATTTTGTACCAAAGATCTTATAACGACATTGCAATATCTGCCATTTAAAGTGGTTTGTGAAATGACTGTTCATAAATTAATTTAATTAATCATTGTTGTGTGTTCAACAGTGCTGTTTTCTGCAAACTGACTTTTCCATCAGTTACAGATGGTGCAATACATTGACTTTAATGATACATATTCGTAATTTGCTGCTGCTTCTGCTGTCGCTGTTTTTTTTTTTTTTATCTTTGAAATTTAGGTAGAAAACTTACTGAGACTCGTTCAATGACTTTGCTTCACTAATTATTATTCAAAAACACTGTATTATAACGTCAAAATTGTTGTCCATTTGTGATATGTTATTTGCAAATAAGTTCAAAAAAATTTTTTTTGAGGTCATGAGCTTTGAAGAAGGTCAGTTTGACACTCTTAGTAGTGCAATAAGCAGCTCTGGAACAAAAGGATATCCAGGAAATAATGATACTATCACTAGACATCGTAGCCTACCTGTGATGAGCATTCTAAAAGATAGCGCTGAAGATGAACCAACAAGTCAAGTTAGTTAATCAAAGTTTTTGAATACATTTTCTAGAATATACTTTCAGTAATATTGCTATTATTTATAACCAGTTGTTTTTTCAATATTTTCTAATTGTCAACAAACTTAATTCAGTATACCAAAAAGCAAAAAAAA